GAAAAGGTGGACACCAGTAGGCTGGGTGGGAAACCAGTGGCCCAGCACCAGTGGCCTGGTTATAGGCCGTCCATGCCACTGGCTTACCACTGGTCACTTCTGGATCCTGTGACCTCATCTTCAGGTTGTGATGCAGGATTCAAAGTCCTCCCTTGTGGCTGCCGTGTCACTCACGTGCTGCTGCCATCTCTGCCAGGTCAAAAGAGGTCTCCTAGGCCACCGTCGCCAGAGGCAGCCTCCACCATGACCGTGACCATGCATACTGAGCAATTACAGAAGAGGGCACTTGGGTGCCCAGGCCATGAATGCCCACTCTGAGGAGCATGATGACATGAAATAGCGCAGTTATTTTGGGAACAAACTCAGGTCTTCAAAATGAATGTTGAAATACCCAGCACATAGTTGGCACTCAAGAACTAGAAGCTGTTGGCATGAACCCTGCAAGTGTTGTGTCTGGAGCAGCAGCAGCTCTGACTGCCTGCCTGCTGGGTGCCGGCCCTGTGCAGGCTGAGGATGCACTGGAGTGAACAGGGCGTTGCCGCTGCTCCTGCTGAGATCACAGGTAGCGAGAAAGCAGAGAAGGGCAGCGTGATTCTAACAACTGAAGGAGCTGTGAAAAGGACCTATGCTCTGGATTCAGAGAGGCGGGAACTATTCGTTCTGCCTTAGACAGCTGGAAGGGAAAGGGATTCCTCAACGAGATAGCAGCACTCAAGTCTGGGAGACTTTCTTCCCCCTGTCTATCCTGACTCTGCACGTTCTGCACAGCGCTGCTTTTAAGGAAACAGCCTTGCCTCTTAATATATAATGTACATGGCTGGATTTTAATAGAGAAAAGTTCAAGATTGAAACCCCCAGGTGGGCAAAGGCTTGCCAATGAAAGGAATTGTTCAGTTTAATTTTTTTCTTCATTATTTCATTTGCCATTCTACATCATGACCAAGGGGAATTTTTTTCTCCATAATTAATGGTCTGGCTAGAAAGAAAGGTTTTTCTCTCATTTACCCATTTCTAGTTTCAATCCATGGCTTCCGTCCATGAGGGCGGGGCCAGCTGTTGTGCACGCTGGGAAGCTCGGTGCGCCTCACAGTTCAGGCGTGGACCCCAGCTTGGTTTGAGCGCTCCGCGTAAGCTCAGGCCACCCACAGAAAGCCTGGCCCAGCGTGAACTAGGGACGAACGCGGTGGTACCAGCCTCGTGCACCCACACAGGGTGTCAGACAGGTGCTCGGGAAGGGCGGCTGTGCGATTACTAGGAGTGCGTGTGTGAGAACACGCTCCCCCCATGCAAAGGGGGGCCAGCTGGACTTCTCCAAAGCCTTTGTTAAGTGCTAGCAGAGACAGAAAGGAAATAAAGCAAACCTAAGAAGTAAGCAGGGTTTGACATGCCGGAGGCAGCTCCTGAGTCTTTCGAGGTTAGCCTGCTCCATCCTGCGGTTCATCAGGACCTCCAACAGTGGCGGCTCCAGAAGCAAGTGATGAAGTGACCTGGCTCAGTTTACCAGAGAGGTTTGTTTACCCCTGGACCATGGCTGGGCACCACTCCAGGAGACCCCGCTTATATATTTTATTTATTTATGTAAATTACATATTGGTGATGCACATCAGTGACTGCATTAGACCCTAAGCACTGGGATCGCCTGGGAACTGTGCTGACACCTGCAGGCATGGGGTCATCAGGGATGATGGTGTGCAGCAGCGTGAGAGCCACCTCCCCAAGCCACCACTGTATTCTGTGCGGGTCTTGAGCCCTGGGTTGTGCGCCAGAGGGGGCCACACAGCTCCAGTCCACATCTTCCAAAACACACCGTGAGTGGGGGCTTGGGGTGCCTGGCAGAGGTGGCCGTTTCTTACGGTGAGAAGACATCGAAGTTCAGTAGACCTGGCTTCCTCTCACATTCAGAATCAGACGAGGGTGCCCAAGTCCAGTGGGTCACCTGCTTTTAGGAGAGCAGCTCTGTTCATCCAGATGTGTTGTCTACGGCTATTTTCACACCACAATGTCAGCTCTGTGCAGCTACAGCAAAGACAGTGTGGTCTCGAGAGCCTAAAATATTTATCATCTGGTCCTTTACAGGGAAAGGTTTTTGGCCCCTGGTCTAATCATCAATTAAATACATTTCATGCACCATTGATGCTTATGATCACCTCTCATTATTTGCAAACCTTTTCCCGCATATTAAGATCTTATGTTCTTTGAAGCTAGACCCCCCTCATGTAGTTTCTCTCTAATACCATTCCACATTCACCTCCTGCTTTCTAAAGACTTTGATGTGTGAGCTCTCATGTCCCACAGAGTCCATGGTAGTGTTGAGCAAGCAGAAGATACTCAGAAATATTTGACTGATTGATTGCCTTTCTCAAATTTATTTCAAGCTCTGAGCAATTGGGCCAATGGTTATTTTTGCGGCTGATATACAGAGTCATGAAGTCCATCACAAATCCCTGTATCGAATGGGGACAGACTATTTCAAATCATTGTGTCAAATGACTTTTTTGAAACATTTCTGGTCGTCACTCATTTCCATCCAAGTCCTTTATAAGCATTATGCAATTCTTCCCACAGGAGATAGTGCCATTGCTACAGAAAAGAGCAATGTCTAGAGTCAGACTTGAGCTAAAATCCTAGCCTGGCCACTTCCTAGCTTTAGGGCTGTGGTGATATGGCTCTGGCTTCGGGAGCATTTAGAAAGAGACAGGTCAGTGTCTTCCCTTCTCTCCTACGTCTGAGTCTCGCTTCGCTACCTATCAGCTCCGTGGAAATGATGGCTTGGAATTTACCAGCTCCTGGGCAATCCTGTTGTGTGAATTGCCTCTTACAGTTGTAGATGAGCACACAGACCAATGTGAAGTCAGGTAGGTCTGCTAAGGAAAAGCACTGATGTGACGCTGATGTTCAAGCAAAAGCTAAGCGCTGCTGTGGAGTACACGTGCATCTGTGAAGCCCTGGAGTGAGGTGGCATTTCTCGTCATTCATTTGACCTATGTACTAGTAGCTCCTCAATGTCATAAGTGGCAAAGCACTCAATGCTCTCAAGCATTCCATTTTGGCACAAGGGACAGTTAATTTTAATGATGCTTTCTAGTTATTTTGTGCTTGTTATCATATGAACCAGGAGTATGTATCTTTGTTTAATAATTGAGTTTACCAGGAAGGTCTCATTATAACCCAAACTGAATGTGCTCTGACTACTCAATGTTGGGGCTAAAGCTAAAACAATGTTGAGATTTTGAGTGGGAGATTTATGTATGTAATTATTTTGACTTAATTCTGTCTTTATTCCAGATACAGTACTAGGTGCTTCTTTGTTGGGATCTAACATATGTTTTGTGCTCTATCTTGTTAGAAAATGTGGAGAGTTCAAAAAGAGCTCCTGATAGGGATTATATAGCTGGAAAACAAGACCAAGTATGAAATCCAAGAAAGGAAGTTGGGAAAAATGGTTTTCAACACCCTGAAAAGGCAGTACAGTCACCACCATTCTGCTAATCACACTGTTGCAGGCAAATAGAGATGTGAATTATCTTCTCTACAATCATTTATTCAGCAGCAAAGTGGACTTTTATGTTTATATTTGGATATGGAAGCATCTCACACCAGAAGAATTCACTTCCAATTCAAATAGCAAGCACGAAGCCTCCAGTTTGGATTCTCTGCAGAGCCTCACAGAAGGTAAGACTGGATGGCAGATAACAATAACCTCCCCAGGGCACCTGCCTTATCTCACTTGATCATCACAAAGATACTACGAGGTAGACAGGGCTGATATTAAAACTTATGTTTTATAGAAAAACAAATTGAGCTTCAGGAAAAGCAAGAGCTTTCCACATGCCTCCACCTGGCTACTAGATCCGTGTGTGACCTCAGGCCCTTCCCAGCTCCCTCCTCCATGTACGCGCATCCTCTCTCCAGAGGGAGCTGCCTGGTCCTGACCACCTTCTCTGCTCTCTCTTTCTGACCCAGCACAACTCACTCTAGGCTTCTGTCTCAGCTCTAATCTGCGCCCTCCCCTGAGGCTACCCAGAATTTGACTTCCCTTGGGCCCACATTTCCGGTTCCTGGCTGCATCCCAGAGCCTCCCGGTCCTCTCTAGTCCTGCCCCTAGACCAGAGTCCATTTGTCTCCACCCCTGGCAGACATGGCCCGCTCTTGTGTGTTGTCTGGCAAAGGCTCTGCATGATTCCAGCTACCCTGAGAGCTTCTGTTTAGGGACAAGTTATGGGGCCAGAAGCCCTCGCTGGGCTCTGGGGCAGGACAGGAAATGAGGACTCTAGGCGGGAGCTCTCCATCCGCCTGGCTGGGGAGTTGGTTTCGGTCCCAGGGACTAACAGACTACAGGAACGAGAAAGAATTTTTTTTTCTCATAAGAAATGTTATGAGACAAAGCAAAATAAAAAGTGCTTTGGGCTTCGTGTAGTTATTCATTCAATAACTATTGAATGAAGAATGGCTGGGGGCTGGCTACTGTTAATAGACACTGAAGATGTATCAGGAAAGGAAGCAGTAAAGGCTCCCTACATTCAAAGAACTTGTATTCTAGTGGGAAAGGCAAAAGCTAAATATATAAATTAAAGGATATAAATTTGAGAGTCCTAATCCTTATGTGTGGTATATAATTCTGTGTATTTGGTCATTTTTATCTCATAGCAATGTTTTATCATTTTCAGTATATCTATCTTGACTTTTGTTAAATAGAGTTTTAAGTACTTTATGTTTCTATGAACTTCAAATAGAATTCTAAACTTTAATTTTCAAGTTGTTTACTGATAATATATAAAGACAGCTGAGTTTTTACCACCAGGCTTGTTAAATTCACTTACTAGTTCTGGCCACAGCTGTTTTGTGGATTCCTTGATCTTTACAATGTCAATACTCAAGACATCTGTAAATGAGACAATTTCACGCCTTCATTTCTGATCTTTATGCCTTTTATTTCTTTAGCTTTCCTTATTGCAAAGGCTATGAAATACAGTGACAATATTAAATAGAGTGGTGGCAGCGGACAGCCTCTGCCTTGTTGCTGATCTTAGTGACGAAAGCATTCAGGGTTTCACTGTTCATCGCCATGTTAGGCGTAAGTTCTTTGCAGATGCACTTTAACAGATGAAGGAGTTTCCCTCCGTTGCTCATGAAAGGAGAGTTTATGGTGAGCCGGTACTGAGTTTGCCAAACGTAATTTTGCATCTTTTAAAATGATCTCGTGGCTTAGTCATTTGTACTGCTGTAACAAAATACTAGAGACTGGGTAATTTATAAACAAACACTGGAAATGTCTTTCTCATTGTCCTGGAAAGTAGGAAACCCAAGGTCCCGATCAGGAGGGGTTGGTGTCTGGCGAGACTGCTCACTGCTTCCCAGATGGTACCTTGTTGCTGTGTCCTCCGGAGGGGAAGACGCTGCGTTCTCAGGACAGGAGAGAGCTCCTGCAACCCCGAGCCCTCTTATACAAGGGTGTTAATCCCCTAATCTCCCCCCAAGGCCACCTCTTAATACTAGTGCACTGGGGAGTAAGTTTCAAGGTGTGTTTAGAAAGGCAGACCCTCATTCAACCCATACCATGAGGCTTTTCTTACCCTGTCTGATAATATCATAAACTGCACTGGATTTGTAATCATGGATATCTAAGAAGGTCATGGAACAAATGCTGTGAAGAAAAACAGTCCAGTGAAAGGAAAACAGTAATGTGAAGTGGGGGTTAAGGCAGGGCAGGCGGAGAAGATCTCTCTACGGAGACAGCACCCTCGTGGGGCTGCATGGAGGTGGGAGAAGCTCTGCAGAAGTGTGAGAAAAGTCATTCTGGACCCAAATGGGAGGAGATGGGTTCAGGGAGACAAGCTGACCACGCAAGCCTCTGGGCCCCCCGAGAAGGCATGGGGATTTTGTTCTGAAAGCCACGGAAAGTCATTAGTGGGTTTTAAGCAAAAGCTCACCACGAGCTGATTTATGGTTTTCAAAGATTATCCCAGCTGTTGTGGGGAGAATTGGATGCAGGTGGCAAGAGTGGAATGGGGAGATTAATCAGGGAACTATTTTATTATGTCACAAGGGATTAGAGTGTGCTGGATTAGAATGTAAACAGATGAAGTAGTAAAAGAGGGACCTTTGAGGGTCCGTTTTGAAAATCAGTCACTAGAACTTGCTTGCGGTTGAATTGGGGCTTAGCAAAAAGGAAGGATACAAAGAAAACTAGAATTTGTTTTCTAATTTTTAACTTTTATTTTATTAGTACATGTTTGCAATTCTTGCACTTTACAGTCACCTTGAGGAGTGGTTACTGTACGTGATACAGCTCGTTTTTTATTTCAATCCCCTCCTCATTCCCTCTCCCTCCCTCCTCCTTCAATTTCCCTATCCCATTTTTCACTCTTGTTGATAGTATTAATCTTAGCTCCTGTTTCATATGATGTCTACATTCAGTGAGGATATTAGCTCCCTATACCTGGCACATCTTTATCCTACTTATTTCCCTTCCCTCCTCCTCCCCTTCGCCCTTGCTCCCTTGGACTCCTTCCCTACTGCAAGAGTCCACCCCTATCCCCTTCTGTCTGTCCTTTATTACTCTCTGTTTTATACTTTGCCTCCCTCAAATGAGAGATATCATGTGGTATTTAAACTTGGCATCTGGTTTATTTCACTCAATATTATATTTTCCAGGTGCATCCATTTTCCATAAATCTCTCAAATTTGTTAGTTTATAGATGAGTAGTATTCCATTATATATAGATACCACATTTTCTTTACCCAATTGTCTCTTCGTGGGTGTACAGGCTGCTGTAAGCACTGGTATGCATGTAGCACTGTCGTGTGATGTCTTAAGCTCTCTGGGGAAGATCCCTAGCAGGGGGATAGCTGCGTCATATGAAATTTCTAAAAAGAAAACTAGAATTTGGACCCTAGCATCTGCATGCATGGGGATACTGTTTACTGATGAGGGAGAAGAGGATTGAAAGAGATCTGCTCTTGAAGATTTGACATTAGCCTCTTTCGGTTCATCCAAAATACACAGCAACCTAAATGAGATGTCTGCGGGTGCAATTCTGGTTCTCAGGGGAGAGGTGAGAATAGAGGAAAGACCTTGGGAGCCACAAGTCAAATCCCACAAGTCAAGAGGAGTTCGAAGAGGAAATAGAAGCATGCACTGGGAAATTCCAACACATGCAGCATGAGGAAAAGGAGAAAAGACCAGCTAGGGAGGCTGACCAGAAGCAGGCAGTGGAGTAAGAGGACAAAGCCAGCAGAAGAAAGGTCTGAGGCATGGGCAGTGATGAGAGATGTGTGTCTTATGGCAGGCATGTCTGGTGAGAGGAAGATCAAAGCTTGGCCATGGAGTTTGGCTGCAAGTCACCGATAGCCTTAAAAAGAGCAGTTGCAGTGCAGGGATTGGGGGCAAATGGAGTGCGTTGAAAGGGAGAGATCTTCAGAATGGCTGGATGGAACCTGTCTGCAGGGTGCATAGCAAAATATTTTATGTTTCATTTTAAAGGAGAGCAAAGAACTCATGTGCACCTTGACTAGGACACAAAGCTGAAGGATAGTTTGTTTACTGTTGTGTAACACTGTGGGTGTTTCCTGCACGTGTGTCCATGGATGCAGAGGGTGCGAAAACATCCAGGTGTCAAGTGATGTCTCAGTCTGCAGAGTTGGCCTAGAGCTGAGATGCCAGCCAGGTGAGCCAGAAGACAGAGACTTGGGCTTTCACACAAGTTATCACTATTATGAGATAGTGATACCCTAAGCTATTGCCACAGACACTGATTCCTAAGAACAGTAGGAAAGTTGTCCTTTTTATGGGTGATCAACAAGTCACCCTGCACTCAGGCTCCCAGACCAAGGACCGTCCTCGGGGGATTTGAGACATGGTGCACGGGCAAAGGGCAGCCCCGAGCCCACAGGTCTGGAAACTAACTGCAAAGCGGTTGCTGCAGAAGCCACATCTGCTTGAGTAGGAAGATATGGCTCTCGTTTTTGGGAAGAGAGATGCAGGGCGAAGGTGGAGAAAGACATCAGTTATCCAAGTGGCTTCAAGGAGCCTTAGAGAGGCATCTTCATCTGCCTCTCAGAGGGAGAGTTATGACATCTCAATGTCAGCCCTGCTGAGGGTGCAGGGTCCTGCAAGGTCTCTTCCAGCCTTAGCAATGTCTTTGCTTGTGTGTCTCCCTTCCCATTCTGAGGGCAAGACCACAGTCTTTTTTTTAAGCAAAACATTTATTGGAACATCTCAGATACACATAATGATAACATTCATCACAGGGGATTTGCACCTGTGCATAATGTGTCTTGCTTCTTTTCCCATTCCCCTCCCTTCTCGTTCAGCCTTCTTCCTCTCCTTACCTACAAAAGCTTTGTTTCCATTTTTCCCTTTTCTCTTTTTCCTGTCCCTTCTTCCCTTCCCATTTGAACATTTTCTTCCCATTTCCCAATATCGATTATATATTTTGGTCCATATTTCCACTTTCGATTTCTCACTCCAGAGAAACAATGTGGTATTTAAATGTGTATCAGATTTATCTCACTTAAGGGTATGGTTTCAAGATGGATCCTTTTAGCTGGAAGTATCTCAAGCTCATTCTTTATGGCAGAGTAGTGCTCCATTGTGTGTGCATATATATAAAACATCTTTATCCATTCATCAGTTGATGACATTTGGGCTGTTTCCCAGATTTAGCTATTACAAACTGTGCCACTATAAACAGTAGTTGCGTATATATTGCTGTGGTATGATGCTTTTAATTCCTTTGAGAAGATTTCAAGAAGGGGAATAGCTGGGTTGAATGGAACCTCTAGTTTTAGTTTTTTGAGGAATTTCCACACTGACTTGATTTTTCATGATCCCTTGCTATTTTAAGAAATCTTTCTTTTCATGATCACTAACCACTATCCTGTCTTCTATATCTGATATTCCGTCCTTACATTGGCTCATTCTGCTGTGTATACTTTCAATGGATTTTTTAATCTCCTTGATATCTGTTTGAATCTTTTTCAGGGATTCCATTTCTTTCCTGTGTTGGACATTCATGGTTTCCATCATTTCTCCAAGCTCCTCTATTTTTTATCTGTATCTGCTCTAGAGTCACTAATCATGTCTTTCATTATAGTCACTATCTCTGTAGTTATCTGAGAAATTATTTCTGATTTGATTTTTTTCTAGAGCCTCATTTATCTACTTGGTTACTTCCACTGTTAGTACTTCAGAGAGTCCAGGTGGGTGGGCTTTGGATTGTTCCACCTCATTGTCCCCTAGATTTGCCTTTGGAGAGCTAGAAGTTTGGGGTTGCACCTTGCTTGTGTCTTCTCCATTTCTTTTTTTTTTTTTAGTTTAATGCCCAGGTTGATGCTTGTAAATTGTTTATGGCAAGAAGTTTTATTGCTAGTATTTAAAACACTTAAGAAATGACTACTTCTCAGAGATGTCTTCCAGGTGTGGCTGGCTTTTGGATTTTGAGTCTCTTGCAAGATACTCAATTTAATGGGGACGAAAAGTTGCTGCCTATTTGGCTTAGCTCCTGGTTCTTCGACACTAGCCTATATATTGTTTATGACACTCAGGTAATCTCACTCTTGGCATACAAGGAAGAACAACCAATTAGAACAATTATGTCACCTTGGCTAAAGTAGTATAATCATCAATAACAACAGCATCAAACACAGCCTAGAAAATGACAAACTGTGGTAACTATTAATTTGCCACCTTCAACCCTATGAACTAGATTTGTGTTTATATAACAAAATTTAAAACAAACCCCAAAATTGTATACAGTAAATGTACCCTCCATGTGGCAATTTTACCCTCAGGGGAGAAAATTTAAAAGAGGTTGCGGGGGGGAAAGAGGTTGGGGGGAAAATAGAGAAATAGAAGAGGAAGGGATTAGAAGCAAGGCTGGAGGACAAAGGAAGATCATGCAAACTTTGGGAAACTGGTGAAGAAGACAGGAGGAAAAGAGAGAAGGAAGAAATAAAAACAACAACAGAGCCATCACCACAACAAAAAAACTAGAAACAATGTTCACACTTATATAAAAATATGAACAATCAAGAAAAAACAAAACAAAACAAGAAAAGAGGAAAAAAAATGTCTACATCAAGGCATGTCTCTGGTGTCACTGGTAGACAAAATGGGCAGAGTCCAGATCTGTGTTGATTAATCCCAGCAAGCCAGCACTTTTAGTTCCAAATCTCAGGCTGGTTTCTGGCTGTGAGGCTGGAACTTGATTTGTTCAGCCTGCAACACCCCGTGTGCCTCCTGTCATCTTGAACTCGGTTCCTTGACTTCATACTAACTTGAACTCCGTTCCACCTCATCCTGATGGAGCCAGCCCACAGCTGCTCTGAGTTCTGAGCTCAGTTGGCCCCTCTCCAACATGGCTACCAGCAATTGCCCTCTCCTGGAGGATAGCTAACCTGAATAGCTCACCAGCCACTGCAGTCCACTGTGTCCACTGCTCTGTTCCACTGGTGCATCTCTCTGTGGAGGCCCCTGGGGTCCCCAGTAGTCACCATGTGTCTGAGGTTCAAGCTGCCCTTCCCATGCTGTGAGTCAGAGCTCAGAGAGAAAGTGCCACTTGCCATGTTCCCTTCTTTGTTGGAGACTCTCTCTTCTTGCTCTCCCTGTGGGCTTCAGTTCTTGCTTCAGATCCTTGTTGGGTCCCAGGACACACTCCCTCCCTCTTCTCTTTCTCACATTGCTATATTCCAGCATCTGGACTTCTCAGAGAAGCCGTTTCTCTGCTGCTCACCACTCCAGCCATCTTCCCAGAAGTCTACAGGTCTTCAGGATCATAGTCTTATTCATCTTTGTATTTCCAGAATTTGGTCAAGAGTTGACATTCAGAATATTTTTACTGAATGAAACACTACAAAATATCACATGTGATATGATGAAATTTCAGTTCTAGGACCATCTTGAGTTTGGAATTTTAATATAGTATTGCAAAATCAGAATAGGTACTAAGCATAAATAACCATCACTGAGAACTCTGGATGAAGTACATCATTCAATCCTCA